GAGGGAATTTTTTTGTGTGGGCAAGGGTTGCACTAACAGGAACACTTTTACTATATTTCATACTAACTTGCTAGTGAAGACAAGACCTCTCTTGCATGACCTACATGCCTGAACTCAGAATCCCTCCCCTGGGCCTGCCATCTTCAGATTTAAATCCTTTAAACAAGCTCAAGTTTTCATCTCCTCATCCATATTTCCAAAGCATGTAAGCCTCAAGGCACTAGGCCAGTAACGGAATAGTGCTAAGCACAAAGATGTTTTTATGACCACATCAACTCAGTGCAATACAGATCAACTGCAGCAAACCCTGCAGATTGCTTCACCTCCCAGTGTAGTTCCATTATAACATCCCATTTTTGCCAGTCCTCAGCTGATAGCAAAACTCCTCTTTTGGCTTTGTAACTCTTTGCGGTTCTGGGTTTTTTTTTTCACTTTCAGTGAAATGCTCTTGAAAGCTGCCAGAGACTTGGCTGTGACAAAGATCTATCTGAATTTGGGGTTTTGGAAGACTTGTCATGTCTTTTAATAAGCACTGCATTGTACCAAGCCTGTACATTCTTTACTGTTCTAGTTGTTGCTATGGCCAGAGGTGCCAAGTTTCAGTCTGAATCTTTTGAGAGACTAGACAGAAATCTCGATTTTCTTTCTTTCTGCTTAGTTCATGCTCCTGGCCCCTACAGTGTTCTCCCTTCACCGTTACCCAAAACTTCTTTCCAAGACAGGAAGGCTGGAAGCCCCTGCCCTCTCCAGTCCCTCAGCTTGTATAACCAGCAACGGTCTCTCCTTGCCCTGAATCATTGTGGCAAAGAAGTGAACACATGGATGGATTCCCTCTCTGGCTAGGTGTTTGCAAAATCAGGGAGAGGCAGAAAGGAACAGATGGGAATGGCCTTAACAGAGAAGAGGGAAGTTTTTTGCAGGGGAGCTGCAAAGGCATGGCATTGTCAGTCCATATCAAGCTTGGAAAAGGGTCTTGCAGAAGGGAGAGCAGCAGGACACACTGCCTCATTGCCATGGAAACAGCCAAAAAGCTGGCTGGGCAGATTTAGAAATGTCTCCTGCTTGGGACTAACTTTCAGAAGATGTCATCTATCTTCACAGAGATTAAAAAAAGGTGGAAAAGCGGAAATGTCCAACACTGAAAGCTGAAAACGTGTTTTTCTTTCTTAATCTACAATGGAGAGTCAATCTTCCATGGCTTTATGAAGATATTTTTTCTCCTCTGAGAAATACATCCTGGTTTTGATGGGGATTATTTTTCCCCATGTCTTCATATTTTTGGGGATTTTTCATTACAATGATCAAACACTTCTGGCATTATGATTCTGGCTGTCATTTTGATACTCTAGATTTCTCCATGGTGCTCACTATGTCTTTTGCAAGCACATTTGCTACCTATGTGATATTTCTCTGTAAGATCTCTCCTTGATGGCCCTAAGGGTCTCATACTCCCTGAAAGAGGCTGATCTGTTCTCAACATAGCACCTCAATGTTGCTTTTTTGCCACATGCCTTTCAAATCCAATTGTTTTCCCACAGCCTCATAATGTTATTTTGAAGACAGTCTAAAAGATTACAAATATATATATATTACAGCATGTGTATGAAATCCCTGCCTTAAGAACATGCTTCTGTTTCTACAAGTGGGGAGTGGAGAAAGCTGTAGAAGTCTCCCACATTAGAAAAGTGAAAAAGTTGATTACTGCACATAGAAAGTTATTAGTCCCCATAAGCCCTTTGCAAAGTAGGACTGTACATCTGTAGACTGCAAGCAACTGTTTTGGAAATCACCCTGGACCAGTCATTCCATAAGCACTAATTCTCTTCCATGTCCATCATCAGGTAGTGCTGTCAACAAAATGGTAGAAAACGCTTGCAGAGTTTTCTCCACCTAAGCACCTTAGTAGCTGTGGAGAGAACAACAGCAAACTATTTTGTATTTACTTAGGGGGGGAGAGAAAAAATGCACATTTTTATGAAATATGAAGAGGAAGAGATTACTACTACAGAGTAGTGAGTTGTCATAAAACTAGGTGTAAAATGTCTCCTTTTCCACCTGCTGTGTCTTACCTCCACACAGAAGGGTCCCACCTGCCTGCATAGCACAGCTGGCAATCTGTGGAGTCACAAGGAACATGTACAGTTGCTACTGTAAGAACAGGAAGGAGATGCTGGCCAAGTCCAGTGCTGAGTTTCCACAAAAATATTTAGAAAGCCCTTATATGTGGGAGAGTCAATATGAGTAACTAGACCTGTTTGTTCTGGAACTACCTCTCTGAAGTCACTCTTCCAGGGCTGCCTGCCCATTTAATGCTGTACATTCCTGCTGAAATAACTTCAGAGACCAGGTCAATATTTTCATGCAATTTTAATAAACAGCAGAATATGCTGCAATATAAATCTAAGATTGGTTTGAGGTAGTGTCACCAAGTAATGATGATGATATATAATGTGGTTGGGACCCAGGTGAAATTATTTCTGAGCCTAACAGAGAGAGAAAGCTGGGATGTTGCAGAGGGTGAAGAAGAGCAGGAAAAGACAGGAAACACAGTTCAGCTTAGCAGGGCTAGGCAATAGTTATACCTATACAGATTCAATCTTTCATGATTTGATGTTTACAGATTAGAAGGATCTACTTCTTTTTAAATATACTGAAGAAATAACTTCCTCAACTTAAATAAAACCCCAACGATCACACCAGCCCAGCTGCAAGATTCATTCCATTACTTCAGAGTGTTAGGGAAAGGAAAAGTTATTTGTTCCTCAAAAAATAATGCAAGTTTCCCTTTTCAGCAATGGAATCACCACAATTAAGTTGGCTGTTGCACCTCCTGGTCAACGATTATTTTAGTTCTGTGGCAAAAAGAGATGTGATGTTTGAGGAAGGATACCGCTGCCCTCTGCCGGGAGAGATTTCTTTCCAACTGCTTCATCTTCCTGCAAAACTTGATTGCTTGGAAAGTAACTCGAAGTGGGGAATTGCTCGCTGGAGTTTTAATTCCTGCTGCCTCTGTCTTTCCTCCGAAATTTGCTGAATCTGTTTCACCAAATATTTTGAAAATTCTGCGCCTCAGACAAAGTAAAGAGGAGCAAGGGCAAATACATACAAAATATTAACATGCTGGTAGCAGGAACTGTGAAAATTTGAACTGGAGATTTTAAAAAGCAATCTTTATGATGTGTAAACACTTCAGGCATCCTCAACAATATCTGCTGATATCTGCTGGAGCTAGTTTTCGGTTTTCCTGCCAAAATTCAATCATTCATTACCAGATCAGGCTAAAACCCTCTACAGTTTCTTAATTCTATATATATGTGAAATTATATGTGTATATATATATAAAATTATATATATATATTTAACTGCAGCACTTGCCTAACTGAGCTTTGGCTTCAGTCGTACATCCACACCATTTTTTCTGGTTATGCAGAAATTGAAGCTCATTTTACTGCTTCATTTATAACCGGCTTAACATTACAGATCTGACATTACTGTAGTTCTATTGTTTCCGGTTAAGGAAACACTAAGTGAAACATGTAATAATGTTTTTAACCACGTGAGGGAGCTATTTCATTTATACATTAGGATGTTGCTATTGCGAGTACATATTGGGAAATTATAAACAATAAATAACTTTTATACAGCTTATTATAGGATACATCACACTTTACAGACACACGTGAAAGTATTAAGGCTCTTGTGTGACTGAATTTAAATCCCACAAAGAAGTTTTAAAGGAATTAACCATTCTGGTCAATAAACGCCAGCATCAGAAACAGCCACAGCTACTTATTCCCTGACTGACTGACAGCAAAACTCTTAAAATAGTAAATAAATTAGAGTTACTAAGAATTAAGAGTAGGCAGAGATAATCACATCTATTTTGCAGCAGTGCAAAAAATGACAGGAGAGAACAAGACCAGGCACAGATTTTCTAGTAGGGTTGTGAAAGCCTCAACTCTCCGTCTCGCTTCCCTTGCCATCCCCACCTCTCCATAACACAGGCCGGTACAGGCCATGCGGCTGCCTCCCCAGTGCCTCTCTCGGCTGTACACACCCCCCCACCCCCCAATCGTAGTGGGGATATATCTGTCCCCCCTGGGGATCACAAAAGCATTAACAGCAAAGGGTTTTCTTTATGCTCCCCCGGAGCTGATAGGCAGGCTCAGGTGCATCAAGAATGTCTACAATCACCAAAGTGATGGTACATAATGTGCACATGAGAGCTGTAAATTGCACCAGACTACTTGGGGAGGGGTAGTGGAATAGAGAAAGACAGGGAGGAAGGAAGGAGGGAAAGGAAGGGAGGGAGGGAGGGAAGGAAGGAAGGAAGGAGGGAAGGAAGGGAGGGAGGGAGGCAGGAAGGAAGGGAGGGAGGGAGGAAGGAAGAAAGGAAGGGAGGAAGGAAGGAATCAGGGAAATAAGCAGTGCTGCAGAAATCAAGTTGCCTGGCACTGTGGGTAGGTGAGAGCAAGTGAAGCTGAAGCAAAAAGTTGGGGTGCCGGGGTTCCCATGTCAACAAATGGGAAAGACCACATGCTGATTCAGCCAGGAGTCCTTAGGAACGGTTGTGGTTAGGCAATCACTGGGCGATGCAACCCATAAGATTAATAGTACAACACTAAAAAATCAAGATTGCAATCACTGTAGTGACAAGCAGAGTAAATGATGTAGCTGATGAAACAGTGCAGCAATTTGGACTGGTGAAGACACAGCAGATGATGGGAGTGAGTGGCAGGTAGCAGAGGCAGCAATGCCTTCTTCCAGTTTCCTGTGTAAAGGATGGAAAGAAAGGTAAAAAGAAAAGCAAACTGACTAACTCTGAAGGTTACATGCGTTTTACTTTCTATTAAATGTATCTTATGTATTCTATTAAATGTATCTTACCATCCAGAGTTAGGATTTTACTAATTTGATGAAATAGTTTCTTCAACAATTTGTTGAAGTTTAGGAAACTTTTGGATGTGTTGTTTTTGGGGGGGTGTGGGTTTTGGGGGTTGTTTTTGTTGTTGTTTTTCTTTTTCACTTCCTCACAGAGCCAATGGTGGCACCACAACACAATTCAGTGTAAACAGCACACCATTTTCAGCATGCAGGCACCAGTGATCATGTATAGCTTGATCTGAGAGTATCTTTCAGCAGTATTCTGTTCAAATCAACATCTTCAGAACAGGGGTAAAGTTATGTGAAAATTCCTGGTGCAATCATCATGCAGCTGGTCACGTTTCAGCAATCATAAGATTTTTTTTTTGTTTTTTTTTTTTTAACAGCTTTAATATTAAGCAGGATCAAGCAGGAGAAAGATGGGTGATGGGATAATAGTGTGAAACACACACTGCAAACTAGATCAGACTTTTTCATTTGGTGGCTCTGCTCAGAGTCCCCATAGAATATTTAATATAGACTAGTTCCAGCAGTCACACATCTAAAAAGAGTCTGTCTCGGGTGTCTGTTGGTCAAAACAAATTTGTTTTATTAATGGGTCTGATAAGGTGACGTGATAGAAATGTTTTAATACTGCATTGTAGCTTTGCCCTTTAGTTTGGGACAGCGGCTCCAGGTGCACCTGGGTACATATTGTGCACAGGGCAGCCCTGAAGTCATGCAGGGAAGGGAAGACACGCACTTGGAAATTAGTGGCTCAGCTCTGACTTTGGGAAAACTTCCCCATTTACACGGTGAGATGCAGCTACTCAGAGGTTACTGGAGTTTGTTCAGCGGTGACGTGTTCCTGCGCTCCTCTGACTCACCAGCCGTCACGAGCTGTGTCTGACCAGGGAAACAGAGAAAGCGAGGGTGTAAACCCCAGCCTTTTGCCCAGTTCCGACCCTCTGCAGTACAGGCTGGGACTGGGAGGACACCCCTCTCCAGCCAGGCCCCTTCTCGGCTCCCCCCTTGCTGGTGAGCTGCAGCTCATGCTTCCCAGGGTAAAACTCGTGAAGGTGAACACCCCCTGCCACAAAGCCCCACTTCTTGGGGGACAGGGGTTGCTATTTAACTTGGCAGGCACTCCATTTTTACTTCCCTTCGCAAATATTTCCCTCAGTCCCGTAAAGCCGTTTGAAAGAGCCTCACGGGGGGAATGCGCGTTTGTACCGAGCCCCGGGGGAAGTGCTCGATGAGAAAAACCGGGCTGTTCCCTCTGCGGACGAGCCGCTGGCTCTTCCACAGGTCTGCTAGCCTTGACGGCTGTGTCCTCCTCCCAGTTCCCTGCAGTAACTTGTCCTTGTGCCGGGCGGTGTGTGGGGAGGACGGGGGTCCTCAGAGCACGGTCAAGCCTGCCCGTACGTGCTGGGATCTCGGGCTGGGGGGCCGCGGCTGTCCGCGTCACGGGGGCCAAGGTGCACCGCTCCCCCTGCCCCGCTTTTTACCCCAGGCGGGCGGGCTCAGAGCGCAGGGACTGCCCGCCCCGCCACGGCGGCTGACAGGAAAAGCTCACCAGCCAATAGGCGGCGGCGCCGCTCCCCCCTCCCTCTGCGCGGTGACGTGTGCGAGCCCCGGGAAGAGGCCCCTGCGCGCGGGCGCGTGGCGGAGGCGGGAAGCGGCTGCGGGGAGTTCAGCGGCTCGGTCCCCCTGAGGTGACGCTCCCGCGGGGTGAGGGCGGCCGTTCCCTGCCCCCGGACCGGCCCGGCCCGCGGGAGCCTGGCCGCTCGGCCCGCCGCCCCTGCCGGCTTCAGGCCCGGCCCGACCCGACCCTAGCGGCACCGGCGTCCTGCCGGCGCGGTGCTCCTACTGGGAGGGGGTTGTGTCCGGAGCGCTTTCGCAGGGCCGTGCGGCTTGGGGAGGGGCGCAGCGCCCCGCGGGCCGTCCTCAGGGCTGGGGTTTAGGGGAGGTGTCGGGGGGGCGTGGGTCTGATTGCTGGCTGCGGGCACCACCGCATAACTCTTCAGCGCTTGTTTCCAGGATGTTAGTGGAGAAGGTAGCTGACTTACGGTCTCAGGTGTGCTCCGAGTCTTGGCAGTGCTTTAAGCAGCTTCCATTGTTATCTGCGGGTTTGGAGCTTTTAATCTTTATATTTTCTTTTCTGTTCCTCTGGTTTTGCACGTTGCCGATGGGCTGTGGAATGACCTTAACTTTGCTGTGGTACCAGCCCAGTGTGCAGAGAGCTCTGCTGGTACCGAGCATGTAGCACACCGGCTCTGCTAGTTGATGTTATGCCCTGAGGGCAGAAGGAAAACCTTGGAAATATGAATGGTGTTTGGGATATGGTTATTAGTGTAAGCGCTTTTGGAGGTAGAAGATGTGCCCTAACTGTGCTTTTGAAATGCAAAGATTTACTTCTTATAGCTTGTCTCCTGAGGCCTGCTTATAATTACCAATGTTTCAAAAGGGGAGATGGAGAAACTCAAGGTTTCTGAGACCTTTTACGAGTACCGTAACGCAGTCATGCCTATGAAATCAGGGAGTTTCTGCTGGAAAATCTGGTAATGGGATGTATCTGTGGTCCTGCATGTCCTGCAGGTGCTGAGTGGGGGAAGGAAGGACTAGTGAAGGAAGGTGAGGGGCAGTTTCTTTTTGTGATGGTGATAGTAAACGTTTAGAAGTTATCCTGGCATTGTGTCATGATTGATTTAGTTCTAGCAGAGATTAGAGGGGAGGTCTGATGCCCTCTGTGTGCACTGATGTGCTGATGGTTGCTTAGGTAATGTTACACCTCTCATCATATGGTGACTAGACCAGGAGAATGTTTTCACGTATTTCCCCTAGAACTGTTCTTGTTTTGATGTGAAAAATCTGAAATTAGTACCTCTTTAAGTTAATTGCTTGAACATTCCCCCCCTCCAAGGCATGATTTTTCTTTCCCCCATCCTGAAACTATTTCTGATTTCTTTCTGATAGTCTTTTAGTGAGATACTCTTAACAACTGTGCACTGGAGAGAAGGGAGTGCCTTCTCCTCTTGAAGGTGATGAACAGTGTACTGAGAATTAAACTTGTGACTGTGTGTTAGAGCTGGAAAACCTGTAGCTTTAAGAACAGATGTGGCTCACAACAACTTGGAGGAGGAGACAGTGGAGAGGCTCACTTAGTGGCCCAAGGAGTAGCTTCTTAGTGCATGAATTTATAAGGCAGCTTCATTTGTCCCTTCACTCTTCTGTAGACCCTATTGTGTGACAGAGTGATTCATTCTTAGCCTTTGTTAGGATTTGGGGCATCTCTTTTCTGTTAAAGCAGGAAGATTGAAATGCTTGCCTGTCCAGCATCTCCAGGTAGTTGCAAGCCCCAGGTGGGCAAAATAATCCTTTGCTCTAATGTGATTGTGGGAAGGCTAGGAAGTGGAAAGAGTAATGTCTTCATGATGGTGACAGATGCATGTTTAAAGGCAGGAGCATTTCAGCAATAACTGTGTGTGGAGCTGGTAGGAAGTGGGTATGTCCTGCCAGCTACCTTTTTGTACTGGTTAGTATGGTTACTGCAGGAAGATTTATCACATTCTTGCTTTGTTCTTTGTTTTTCATGTAAGTATTTTTTTCATTATGTAAAATACTATAGTATGTACAATAATATGTACAATAGCTATCTGGTGTTGTACAAAGCCAGCTGGGAAGTTTGCCATTTTTATGGTCTTTGTTTTAGTTTGTAGTCCTGGCTGTGATCTCTTGAGATGGAGCTAAGAGAGGCCATGCTGCCAGAAATGGTGTTGGTGATTGAATTAGTGATTTGTTGTTTGGTGTTGCAAAAGGGTTTTTCCTCTATATGCCGTGATGCCTGAAAGGAAAATGAGAGACTGTTCTACTAGAGAGACAAACATAGGAAGTAGAGTTCTGAAAACGTCTGATCATGTCTTACTTCCCTTTTGCAGAAGTGCCAGCCTCCTATTCTGAGGAAATCCATCCTTAAGTAATTCTGTTCTGCCGTCTTAGTTTTCCTGCAAGTGCATGAATTTTCCTTTCCTGTCTCTAACAGCTCATCTGTGCTGGTACATGTATTCTGTTCACTGGCAGCAAAACACGCGTCTCAGAGTTTGTGCCAAGATAAAATATATCAAAAAGAAGTGTTAGTTTGAAACTGGTTACATACGTGCCTGTGTGGGTTTCTGGAAGCCAGTACTTAAGTGTCCCTGGTTGTAGCTACATCTGAGAGCTTCTTGAGCTGAATTTCCTGGAGAGTATGCTGGAATGTCCATTTGTCACCATATTAGAATCTCTTTCTTCCCTTTTCATTAATTAAAATTTTGGTTTCAGCCTGGCTGTAGTGCTTCAGGTGTTCACTACTAGCAACCCTATCCCCAGCAGTGACCTTTGTAATTGAATCTGTTGTAGTTCAAACCTGATTTTCTCTTCCTGCTTTTCTGTGCTTTGCAACACAACCATTGTCTGGCCAAGCAGAGCACAAGGATCTATTGAGGAAGCTCCTCTTTCAGTAAGAACTGAAGACTTTGTCAGGAAGGGGCTTGACTCAGGCAAAATAATGTGGGTGATTCTGCAAAGCAAACCTGCCAGATCTCTTGGAAGACAAATTTTTGTCTGACCTGACTATCAGCGTTTGCAAAGGTGCTTTGGCTTATTAAAGATTTCATGAAGTCTTAAGTCATTTTAACTACTTTAAAGGCCTGGGAGGGAGGGGATCTGTGGGGAGATACTTTGGTGGGAAAGCTTGTTTGGTTGCTTTGTTCCTTTACTGCTTATAGTAAGGGAGAGGAAGTGTGATCCACAGTAAGTGACTAATACAAGTGTGTGCTTAACTTCCCATACTCTTGTGCTAAGTTCATGATGGAGGTAGGAAAGTCTAGTGTCAAGAAGGCTATGTAAATTTATTCTTGAACAATGTGAAGAGTAAATTAGTTTCTTTTGTCATTAATTATCTGCTGTCCTTTTCTTGTCTACCTAGGTGCAATGGCAGGTGAGGACTGCGTACGAAAACGCCCGTCAGGCTCCAATACAACCTCCAAGACCCCTGAGAATGAAGAAACACAGAGGAGACCTGAGGGCGAGAGGTCATTTCAGAACTCAAGCAATGGTGAGACTCTTAGGGTTAGTTGTGTCTCTGCCATGCAGTCTCCTCTAAGTTGTCCTTTCTAGCTCTGGGCTCTTGCCTCTTTGTTCTTTCAGTTCAATGTTTCTGCTCATAGGAAGGCTGCCAAGGTGGAGCTCCCTGTATACCAGCTGCACATCTTCAGCAGGTGTAGGTTGTTGGGAGTGCTATCCTGTAAAACTTTCTCTTTTTTGTGCTGCTTTCAGGGATCTAGAGTGAAGAAAGTGATTAACTGCTACAGGACAATTGTGTGTGATGAGGAGGAGATGCTTTAATGCTGTAAATGGTGCAAATGCATCTTGACAACAATTCTGAATAATCCTGATAAACACTTTTTTGGTGAATACTTTTTCTGGGTACTTCACCTTGCTTCCTTTACAAGCATTAAGTATGTGGCTTCCTCAGGATTGAGTACAAGTGTCTTTAACATCTGTGCCAACCTGGCATCTCCATCCTGACAGACAAATGGAGGTAGGATGCCACAAAGAATGATTCTCTCTTCCTGTGGGGTTCTGTTAATATCAGAACAGCTCTGGTCTATCCGGGCTGAACCTTGGCTGCCGTAAAATAGAGCAATAAACAGTTGGGTTTGTGTTCATTTGTATTGTGGTTACCTTAAAAGTTATGTGGCTTATAGTTGGCTTTGTGGAAGGATCTCTGCTGCCTATGTCCTGTCCCTTGAGCTGCAGGGACAGTTGTGTGGCAGTATGAGCAGTTTTGCCTGTGGACTCTGTGGGCACTGTGTCTGTCTCTAATTCCTGGGTTATGCTCTACCACATTCCAGCCCGGTGATAAGGAGGTTAGCGGTGAAATTGCAGCTTGTTTTCTTTCTCTTTGGAAGACAGAATAAGCAAAAAAGCTTGACTAGTTTAACAGTGTGCCATGTGAGTGTAAGTTCCAAAACCCTGGTGCCAGTGGGTCAAGGAGAGAATTCTTGCTGGTATGCTTCTGAATATTGTCACTATTTCACAGTACTTTCCACTGAAACAGGAGTTGGAGCAAATTTAGGTTTAGGACAAGTCGGACTTCTTTTTGCAAAAAATAGGTTGGAAAGAAAGCCATCCCACAAACTACTTGGAGAACTGGGGTGTTAAGCTGTTGGTGGTACGGTCATTTTAATTGAATCAAATGGGACTGTGCCATTAATGCTGTTCTTAGAAAATTGCCTGTAGTTGATGGCTACTTGAAAACAGTTGTGATGGGTTTAGAAGCAGACCTCTATCTTTTTTATGTATGGAAACACCTTAACTGTTATGCATGAATTTGAGTTCTTGCAAGCTTGTTGGTAAAGAATAAATATAGCTGTGATAATTAGCACTTTATAGGTGGGTGTGCCTGTCTTTAAAAGCCTTTCATTGTAATACCTCTGAGACGTGGCATAATGTCACTGCAGGTGAAATACTGTGTGTGTGTAGCAAGTAAACATTCTGGGGTAGATCTCTTGGAAGTGTACTGAGCTTTCATGTGTGTATGTGTGCCTGCTGAGTTGGCTTTGAATAATGCATTGTGTTTTAATACAGTGCAAACTGCAGTGAGGGGCAGCAGGGAGGGATCCTGGTTAGTTAAGACTAGGTACCTTTTACCTTCCAGAGTTGCTGCCAGTCAGCAGAAGTGTCATAAAGACTTTAGTTTTTGTAGACTCTTTGCTCAGATCAGTGATGGGGACAACAGAAATGCCACAGGGAGCTAGGAGGCACAAATCTGATGCCTGACCCCATTATAGGTCTGGGAGGAAGATGCATTCCTCTGGTCCCGAGTTGCCCTATACAGTGGGGTTAGATCAGCGACTCTGTGACACAAAAGTTGAAGCTTTACAGAGTTGAACTGTTCACATGTTCCAGATAGCGGCCTCTTCATGTAGTCCAACATGCTTGCATAACTAGGTAGGCCTTTCTGTGAAAACACAGCTGAGGTGGAAGCATTTCTCAGAAGTAACCATTGACTTCTTGCTTTCCTTTGTCCTAGTTATTAATTTCTGAATAGCTGTTTCTAAGGCATTAGCCCTGATGTGTACAAAGGCAGCATGAGGCTAATTATCTGCTGTCTGGCAACATCTTTTTTTATAATGTAGCACACCACTGGGTGTTATGTAGAATTTTAGAGAAGATGGGTGCAGTAGCAGTCAGGGGATTCCAGCCAGGTCAAGACAGTGTCCTATATGCAGGTAAGTATGGTATTGTCTTTGTGGTAATTATTTCTGTAAGAAAAACTAAATAGCTAATGTGATTTCTAACCCTTGATCCTCCCCGATAAGCAAACACAATCAGCTTTTTAACTTAACAGTTAATGTGTCGAAGGCCAACTGACTTGCTTCCAGAACTGTGTGAACTTTCTACAGAAAGTTCTAGCCTATTAATCCTGTTTTCATTAAAACTCAAATGCATTGGCAGATCTGAAATTGTTTAGAGGAATAATTTTAATCTGTGTGTTGGCTTTAGAGCTATGTTCGCTCTGATTATTCCATCTGTATAGTTTAGGTGATTATTTTTTTTCTTCCCTCACCAATGCTTCTGAAGACTGACTCATTGCCTGAGTTCTAAGACTGAATAGTTTGTACTCCGGTACCTCCAAATTTATAGCAATGTGGAAATATTGACAGCTTTGAGATTGCCAGAAGAATCCTTCTCTCCCATGATATGTTTGTATCTTGTAAACATTCAGGCTATAATTTCACTTTGACAGAGTAGCTGAACTTCAGTCTCATATATCACTTCTCTTCCTTGAACTGGCTCCAGTATCATAATTAAACAACTAATTTGGTCCTGGGATAGAGACAGCAGGTGATCTAGGCAGCAATAATCCCTCGTCAAAAGAAGGGCTTCCTTAAGGTTAGTCTTGCATGTTTTCAGGTGGAGATACATAAATAAATATGGAACTGTTCTGCTTAAGGGGATATTGATATTGGGCAGTACCAGTTGCAGGAAAACTTACCTGAATTAACATAATAGAAACTGCATGGGCAGATATTGAAAGGTTAGAAAAGCTGTTACTCTCAAGCACACATCTGAGTGCCTCTAAAATACTGAAATTAGACCATTCAAAACAGTAAACTGATGGTTTTGGAGTTTACCCTTGCTTCCTCAGAAATCAGAAAGGGTGTAGAAGTGTCTCTGGAGACTGATCAGCAAACAAACTATGTGGCATATCTTTGTTTGGTGTAAGCCTGTTTGGTAATGCTAATCTTCGAAAGGGTTTATTATCTTCCACTGAAGAGGTTACTATTGATCAGTCTCAGCACAAACTTCATGACACTGCATGAATTGTATGTGCCTGCTGATAGATGTAGGAGGAGGGAGCTCTGACACTGAGAGAAATTTGGAAGGTTTTAGGGTTTGCTGTCTGACTCACGACAGTAAGCATTCATTCATTCTATCAACAGGGTGTTTCTTACAGATTAGTAAATTGGGATTAAGCTGCTTGAATTGAGTATTTTGGATGTGTTTCCAGGAGGTGGATCAAACAGAGCAGTCTTGTCTGAGATTAGCTGGATTCTGGTGATTCTAGGCTCTCGTGTTTTGCAGCCTGTGTGTTTGAAGACTGAGCAATATCTGTGAAGAGCCTGTGGATATGGTGGCATGATGTAGAGAATGCAGTGTTTTCCTCTGCTAGTGAAGAGGCTCTCTGGGTCCCGTGTCCCTGCAGAAATGACTTTTAAAACTGAATTTCTTGCCCAACTGCAGTGCACTTGCCTATGGCCTATGTGTTCCTCAAGCAGATCAGATGAGTTCTGGATGCAATCCAGTTGTAACTTGCCTCTATCTGCTGAATGGCCACATAAATTACTGTAAGTTAGAGTAAGGCTTATTAGCATCAAATTATTAAAATATGTTGTACCCGATACAGAAGACTTCCCCTCTTTACAGTAGCCTTGTGCTAGGTTGGCTTTAACATTGCTTTCCTTAAGGTAACATCTTTAGTGTTTTTAGAGAGGGAGCCTTTGAGTCCAGGCATCTGACAGTAATGAAATCCTTCTGCCTGTGTTGCTTTAACCTCTTCAATAGTAAGTTGTCCAATCAAGAAATAATGAAGATAATATTTTTAAACCATTTTAGAGAAGGACACTATTGGTACAGTTTGTGTCTGTGACTTTCCATGAAGATCCTGAAACTAAACAGATCCTGACATCATTAGGGGGAAATGCTCCTGAACCATGAGTGGTGTGCTTGGATGTTCAAAGAACTGGTGTTTTTTTGAAGCACATGCGGCAAACTGAAGTTCGGTCATGTGCTTTTCCTAGCTTTTCTGCAAAGAGGTATTTTTTGTCTTGAATGCAGTGCAGGGATTTATACAGCAGTGGTCTCCCTGGGTTGTTCTAACTGCTCAATAATAAGGTTATTGTCACAACACAGAAATAGTTTGAGTGGCAATGGCTTGGAATGCAGGGCTGCAGGCAGCTTCTATGGCTGGTGTAGTCACTACAGCCTGGAACTGTAACTGCACACAAGCCACAGTTTTACTCAAATGACTTATTCCCACATGTGCCCTTGGTGGTAATTGCAGACTGTAGAAGTTAAATAAAATTAATTCTTTTTAACACAGTTAATTTTTGAGAGCTTTCTTAGTAGAGTGCTGGCTAGTTTTTCATGTAGGGGCTGATTTTATTGAATCCCAAGCTGCAACACTAACAGATCATAGGAATGGGATGCTTCTTTAGTCATCTTGCATATCATTTACCTATAACATGCACAGGAGTAGGTTGAAAAAGGGACGGCAAGATCCTTTAAGAAAGGTAGTTTGAAAATCCTTTATGAAACTCAAGTTGCTCAAGGTCTCAACAGTAAAAAGCTTTCTCAATCTTGAGGTGATTGTTTATTAGTCTGGTTTCCTAGGGAAACAAAACTTACATTTAAATTGCTCAATTTTTTTTTTCTTCCAACTTTTGAACCTGCTTGGAATTTGGGCTGTGCAGAGGTGTCACATCCTGCAAGGATCAGTTTCTACAAGCCCAGCAGAAGTGGTCAGCTAAATATCAGTGCCTTTGCTGATAGGAATGGATCACAACTCTCATTAAGTTAAAAATTCTCTCTGTGAGCAAAGCTATTTCAAAGCAAACCCTGCTTCAGTCTGCTGTAATATTTGCTACTATTTCATACAAGTCTTCAAAGGAGATTTTTTTTTTTCTTAATGACTTTAACTATATCTCCTGTTTTCTTAAGGCATATCCCATCTTGTTTTAAATGCTAAGATGTGCTTGCTTGTCCTGTGCAGTCTTGAGTTCATTTTTGTATTGATATTGTAAGCCCAAAGTGATAGAGTCTTCATTGCCAGTGTCAAAGGAAAATGAAGATTTGGACTTCATAGCAGTGTGCAATTCTTTTTAGACTCAAAATCATGTGGTGATTCTATTCTACAATAACCTCACAGAACATAAGTAGCAGCTTGCACAATAGAAGATGAATGATTCAAGAAGATGATGTGTTCTCTGGTATCTGCCTTGTGACGCAGTTTGGGTTTATAGGGTGATGCAACACAGCAGAATGAGTTGTTGTGTTGGGTTTTCTTTTACAGGAGGCTCTTTGTTCTGGAAAAAACAATAAGCTTACAGGTGTAAGCTTGTGGTTGTACTTTGAGATGCATACACTAAAGACATGGAGATCTTGATTTTTAAATCCTTTCAAAGGATGCCATGTGTCTAGTCTAGTCTGTGCATATACACTAGTGTGTGCATGAATAAAGTGATTTGGCAATTACAATATCAGCAGGTCAGAGGCTGGCGTCATTTCCTGTACAACACTTAAAGCTGTACCTTAGGTATCTGTAAAACTATGTCCATCCATAAGGCTTTGTAAGTCAAAAAGGATGTTTTCTTTCCAGTGACCCACTCCTGGATTGTTACAGTAACTGAGGCTTTGAATGCAAGGTCTGACAGGAAATATATGGTCAAAGCAGTGGTTATTAATTTTTAGCTTAGCTCACAAAGAAAGTAGTGCAGTCCCTTAAGCCTTATTAGCTGTTCTCTTCGGCTGCGTTGAACAGCTTTAAGCAAAATTGATAGTCTTGGAGACTGGCAGCTGGATAAGAGACACAAATACTTTTTTTTTTTTCCCTTAGGGAAAGGTTAGTTGTGCTGTCTGCTCAGTGGCTCTGTTTGGCCTGCTTTCTAGCAGGTGGTGCAAGGTAGTTCTTAGCACAGTAATAATGGGAGGTGAGCGTTGTGAATACAGTTGTGGAGTGGGACTGTGAGGAAGTAGAGCCATTGAGGTGATATGAAGGGGATAGAGTTCTGCTTGTGCAACAATCTGGTTGGTTTGGTGTTTGGTTTTGTTTTGTTTTTTTTTTTTAGTTAACTGGGAAAGAATCCATTTGAGACAAGCAAACTGCACAGGCTGAGTGGGGCAGGGGACTTTGTAGTGATACAAAGATACACAATCTGAGTTTAACAGCATGATGAGCCTAAACGCTGAGGTTTGGGTGGTTTTTTTTTTTGACTTGGAGGTGAGATGGTTAGCAACCAGGGATCCTATTTTTGTAAAAGTGTATCTTTGCTTGGAGCCAAAAACTGATGGTGTTGAACAGTTTCCTTGTTTGTTGTTGCATTGCAAGGCTTCTAAGTAATAACTTGTTCTTGCTGGTCTGTTCTTAAGTCTATAGCTTGTGTAGCAGTTTTTATAGACAAGGAAATTGATGCTAACAGCCTAGCATAGTTTTATTGGAGACAAAGTCTCTTGTTTCATTTAACTCTTTTCCAGTGTGGGAATTGGAGTCATCTCTGAAGCAGGTCTATCTAAACTTCTTACAACTGGTTGTTCATAAGAGCACCTTCAGACTAGTGTGCATTACAGGAGCACTCGTTCCTATGAAAACAACATGCTGCATTTTGTGTGCATAGGCTGTGCTTATACAAGGAGGACAAGACAAGGAGGCTGTATTATGAGCCTTAATATTGCTAAAGTCTGTTTTGTCACACAGCAGCACAACACAACATTAGCATCTCTGTGGCAAATCTGTTAGCTCATGCTTCCCTGGAGTATTACTAAGGAAGCAATTCAGTACCCTCTTTTTTGAAGTGTGCTACTTAGAAACTGAACTTGCAAATTGTAATGCTAGCCATTGTTCCTGTGTAAGGTACTGTTGTAGCTAAAATTGACAAAGGACATTAACAAGACAAGATTTGTTGCTGTCTTTTCACTCTGACTAATATTTTAGGGGGGTGGACAGTGCTGCCTTAATCTTACTTTTCCTTCATATGCAAGACTGTTTTAAGTAACTTTTTCTTGCATGTTGTTCTTATTGAAGTGAAAAGCCAGCTGCTTGCTAGCACTCTACCACCACTTTAGACAAACCTTGTCTTGAAATTCAGCTAGTCTGAAATGTCTAATTCATTTATGTTGTTCCTCTTGGTATAATAGAGGCATCTCAGATCTGTATAGCTCTTTATGCAAAAGAAAGGGGTTATCTAAGGAGTTACATATTAGCCAGCGGCATTAGTAATGATAAGAATCAAATGATATTCGTAGTGTGGTTAGACCTGGCTGTTTGCTCAGGTAATGAAACATATTGAAGAATACAGTCAAACTGATATCTAGCACTTCTCCTGGGGGATGAAAGAGGGGGAATAGCCAGGTTTGGACACAGGATAGCCTTCCAACTTGCCATTTAGCCTGTCTTCAAAGCTGATTGTGGTATTTTACAGTAGTTGACTAACTTGTCATTGGCAATGTAGAGACCTCCAGACAACTTAATCTTGTGTCTGTTTCACTATACATAAGATAAAGCTCTGATAAAAGATCAACACACTTGCATATGACCTTTGAAGGATTGTTTTTATTGCTGCTTCAAGGCTGAACATGTTTAGGGACCTTGGGAAGATTTGTAGAGTTGCTGAAAATAAAGCTTTTGAAAATATGGCATGTTATCAGCTGTTGACTGCCTTACAGTGCTGTGATCCTAAATGGCTGTTTAAAATATTTGGTCATAGCTCATGAATTTCCTGCAGCTTTGTTTTCAACTTACTGGAACCTTACTAGAAGTCAGAAGAACTAGTGAAAAATCAGTGACTAAGTGTGTTGTGCTTTCTGTGTTTTCAGGCATGAAGCTCTCATCACTGAAAATACAAATGTTAAATATTTGCTTTCTTCCTTAGGCCGGGTTGATGTTGACCATGTGATAACAAGAAAAATGCAGCTAATAGCAGAAGCTGAGGTAAATACACTTTAGTGCTTGCTTGTGGGGAGGAGCGGGATAATTGACCCTGAATGTCTTTTGGAGAGTCACTAGTCCTGGAACACAGATACCTCTACTCAGTCATAGCTTGAATGCCATGACTTTTATACAGCCCTCTTTCCTTCCTCCTCCTCTCCTTTGCACAAGTGGGACAGTATTATCAAATGCAGTTGTCTTACTTGACCCTGAAGGTTGAAGCCCAAAGATAAGAATGAACTTTGAGGCCTGTAAATAAAATGGAACTTCCCTTACTGCGAACTTTTGGTGGTGTGATTATCAGCTAGCCTGCTTGCATATTTAGTCTTTAAAATGCTCTGTCCTGCTATCCATTGAATAAAAAACAGCGTGTATCCCACAGCTTCTCTTGCCCTAGCTATGGAGATGACCTTCCTGAGCCTTGGTCCCACTTTTTTTTTCAGTGAGCAATAACCTAAAATTAAATAGTGCTGGGCATTTGTAATATTGCTTGTGTGAGCTGCCATCGTCTTAGATTATGTTAAGATGATTTATGCCCAAATTAAATGAAGTCAGCTAACAATGAACTGCACCCTCCTTGTTAACCATTGTTTTGTAGCACACATGTTCTTCAGGGCAAATTGTCCTGTTCTCTTACTTCATTTTACTGCAGAGAATTCCATGATAAGATGAAGTAATCTAATTGTGCCAGCCTCATATGAATTTTAGGGAGTAGTGAACTTATAAGACAGAGAAAAATATCTTGAACCTTTGAGATGTTTTCCTTTTTTTTTCCCACCTCTATAGGTGGTATATAGTTTATAACAGAGCTAAAGTGTATTCAGATATCTTCTGCAAAGGATGTACTGCTTTTTGTGCTGAAACTCCTAAAATTCAGCTCATTCAAGGGGTAGTCAGCTCTGAATTCTATTTTGTGTGTTGTCTTCTCTGAATGATTATTACTGAGGACATAATAGAGCAAGCCTCATATCTTTTCTCGGCAGACAAAACAGCCACTGCAAATCACTATGTTGGCAAAAGATGCTTGCACAAGAAAGCTCTGACTCGTAAGCACATGTTGCTTTATAAGTTTCAGGAAACACTGGTTGAGTGCAAGGGGACAGCTTGATCTTGGACTTTTTTTTTTTCCTTTCCTTCCAGGACTGTCTCTTGTTTCTAATTTTTAATATTTTTTTTCTGTCCACCAGCTTTGAGACATTCTAGTTTGTAGGTAATGTTTTCTTCGCTGAAAAGAGGATGGAAGAAATCCCCAGCAGTGTCAGTGTCAGTTTAATTACTGAAGTTACTCCAAAATGGAGTTTGGCAGCTTGCAAACTTGTTTAGGGTGCCCCAATGCTACAGTAATAGCTGTAAGACTGAGTAAAAACCTCCTTCTACTGCAAAATTCCTGAAGCATCTGGCCCTTTTGCTGTGTGAACCACTGAACAAAGGTTAACTACAAACCTTTTAGAGGATGGGTATCAGAGGTCTAGACAGATGCTTACTTCTGCAAAGTGCTGGTCACTGACAACTCCCACTGATTTAAATGGGATTTGTAGGTGCTATGTGTTATTCATGCGCAGGATGCCTTGGTGCATTTGCACTCCGTTTTGAAAATCTAGTCCTTTGTTCATCCATTTGCTGGGTTGAGAGTGGTGTGTTCTGTCAGTTGGTCACGGCTGGATGTTGTTTCAGTGACTTAAAATTATGAAATCTGTTAGAGTAAGTAAAATGCTGGGGAATTTTTGCAATTTTCTCTTTATAAGTACAGGATTACTTCCCTCAACTTTCTCTCACTTGTGACCAATTACTGTCCGGCTTCTGCTTTTTACGGCATAGCAATTTTCTGATACTTGTCCCCTTTTTGGTTTTGTAATGATCTGATTCTTTTGTTTAAATCTTAATGGTGACAGCTAGATGGATCTGCCCAGTTCTTTGTCTGACTTCAGGCATGCTTTAGGAAACTTGGTTAAGTGCTGTCCATTGGGAGAAGCTACAAAGAGGCTTTTCTACACATTTCTGTGTCCACCTGTGCCCTGTTGTAGTGAAGGCTGGTGGGCAGCATGTTTTCTTCAGTTTCATTTCTGTAGTCGCTGGGTGCAATGCACTTGGTTTATTGAGCACCAGTGGTTACTCTGACAGTTGCTCAAGTAGGTTGCCCTTTGAATGGTGAAAGTAATAGTTGATAATATAGCATAAGTTGTGCAGTTTGTGGTACAGTTTTACAGTTACTGTAGGCCCTATGCTCTTGTTATATTTTATTTAATCTAATGAAAAATGATGCCCTGCATACCCAATCTAAACATATGCCCATGTTGATATCAGCCCTGGAGAGCTGTGTTAGGAAGGGACATTCTCAGCAGAGTGTTGACTAAAGGGAAGATGTAGTTGAAGGAAGTAATTTCTGTTAAACTCTTGCTGAGAGGAGATTAGGCTGAAAAAAGGGGAGAGTCTTAAATTAAAAAAAAAGAAAAAAACAAAGTTCTGTAGGAATGAATAGTGCTTTGTTTGACATGGAAATTTTAGGTTTCCAAGAGGAGCATAAATTTCTATTTGACTTTTTTGGTAGGGATGTACATGCATGCTGTAAAAGTAGGCTGTGCCAGAGAGCACCAGCTGTCTTCTGTTACAGGTTGTAGTTCCAAACTACTCAGGTGGTTCTTTTTTTTTTCCCTTCTGTTTTTAAAGGAACAAGTCTACATCTCTTGCAGAGACAATCCTCTGCCTCCCAGAAAAATGATACCAAAGAGTAGCCAACTCCTAAGAGCTTCTGTTTCAATAAGCACTGGTGAAGCTTGTTTATTCTATACTGGCAGCTGCCAAATAGGGGAAAAATGTTTTTATTAAGTTAAATATTAATCTGCTTTTCCTACTGTGACTTCTGTTTCAAGAGATCTCTTTGGATCTAACCACTATGATACAGGAGGAATATCAAGTTCTGATGCATCTTGACTTCAGGGTCTTCTGGTTTTATGTGTATCTGTATCTCCTGCCAGAGTTAAACTTGCTTACTTGGCTGTTGTCACATTAGACAGTAGCATTTTGTAAGAATACATCATCTGTTAATGTATTTTGTTAATCTGCAAGTTTAAAAAGCTCAAGAGAGCTTTTTAGCTTAGCTTTGGTTTTGGGCTGGTTTTTTTTTTTTTTTTTGGTGATCTACTGTATAAAATCAATCCAAGCATGCCTGGAAAGTGAAGGATCTGTCATGGATGACAAGTGTCCATCATGGAAACAGACCCCTTAAAACATAGCTGTGATATGAGGTCTGTATGAGAGGCAAACATATCCCTGCTGCAGCTAACAGATCCAGTTTCAGTTAACTGTCTTTTCCTTCTTTTCTTAGACCTTTACCTGTTCTTTTTAAGCAGAAAAACAATGCAGCTCCATCTTTCTTTAGCATAAATGTTAGGCACTGAAACATAAACACTGATGAAAGAGCTCAAGTGTCACAAATGCCTTTTTGAGGGAAAAACAAGCTTTGTGTGCACAACTTCCAGGCTCTCTCCTTGAAAATTAATTTCTTGGCTTTGTTACTTTTGAGCCCTAACAATTAGGAAATAGGTAGCAGTTGTGACTTCTGAAGGTGGTTGGGGAAGCAGACATATTCCTAAAGCAGCTAATCATTAGGAAGGTGAGATGAAATGATAGTTATCATGTAGGAAAACTTGGACGTTGAATCTGGAGGCCAGTTGAAAAATTGCAGGCAAAAGGATGGTCAGACAAATGTTGCTAGTAGTGACTTGCATTAAAAAAACAGAACACAGTATGCATAGATTTGAAGTAATGTCTTGAAACTTGCCAGTCCCTTGTGCTGAAGATGATGGTTCGAGAATGTGCCAAAGCATTCTTGAAAGTCTTATGGTTCAGAAACTCAGTGGTTAGCTTTTGTTCATGCTTCATCGCTATGCTCTAGTATTGGGAAAGCCATTTGGTGTCTGAGAACTTGGCATTAAGGAACTGAATTCTCAGAAGTCTTATACATCACTGTCTTCTGAAGTGCCAGAGATCTTGAGGGTTTAGATTCCCAAAGTTCTTGCTGCAGCAGGGTGAGCACATTTGCCTTTTTCTTTCACAGAGGAAATACGTTTTGCCTACCTTTTTTTTTTTTTTTTTTTTTTCAGTCACACTTAAGCCACTGTGCAAATGTCAGGATCCTTTCTGCATATAAAGAGTAAGAGAATTCGTATTGCAGTAAAAAGCTTTCCAGAGCTCTGTGTAGCACTTTCTGCAGAAATAAGTAACTGAACTTAAGTTTCTCCTAAATGGATCTAGTTTTAAAAATTCTGCCTGGGGTGTGGGAGATCAGGTCTTTGAAAGTTTGTAATGGACTGAGTAGCAGATTAACTATATTTCAGACAGGAAAATACATGATTGAATTACACATGCTCATCTTTAGGCAAGATGAAGGGGTGTAAGAATATCATATCATTTTGCAGTCTGCCTTTTGAAGATTAACCCTTGTCTAGATAACTTACTATTGGGAGAGTTAAGTAATGTTTTTCGTTTTCTAGAAAAACTCTTTTACCAGGTGAAGCAAGTAGGCTCCGAGCAGGGTGGCCTCTGCTTTATCCTCAGCTAATTATATCTCTTCCTTTTTTTTTCCCCTCTCCCATTTTTCAAAAAAGATAGTAGAGAAGGATGCGCGTCTCTGGCTTTTGATGCACCCTTAGAAGTCAAGGCCTCTAGTAAACCACATGCTTCAGAAGTTACTTTTGTCTATTAAAATGAAAGAAGAAAAATAAGAATAGGCTAAGAATGGTTCAACATTGTCACAACTGGCTGTTAGTAGAGATGATAACCTATGTAAAGCTGTCTGAAGAAAAGGGAATGTAGGAGATTTAGCTGGGATATCTGGTCCCATGAATTCTTAAACTTCAGTCCTGCTGCCTACCAGGTTTTTGTCTCTCACTGCTCAGTCTAAATACTTAGCAATGTTACTCTGTCCGTTGCTCTCCTAAAATTTTTCTGTGCATTCTGTAATTTCAGTGGTACATGAAAGTTTTCATCCAAACAGTGGTTGCAGTGGCAGGGTAAATTTGGTCCTTCTTCCTACAGTCACATCATTGAGATCACGTGAGCAAATCAATGGCGATTGCTTAGCCACAAGCATAAGAAGGTCAATTTTCCCCTCAGTAACACTTAATGGGCTTGTAAGTAAATCATCTTGTTTTGTATGCTAAGGATGTAACTAGTTAAAACTGAGGAATGTTTTCTGGGGCTCATGTATCAACCTTCTTGGCACTCCACATGTGAAATACTTGCCCCTCCAGATATATATATGAAGATCAGTGTGTTTACTTTGCTTCTGTGTTGCATCTGATGAAGAAGAGACATGTTATTATTCAAAGTTCTTTGGCCTGAGGTGTGTGAACAGGACAGGATAAGCCCCAATCCTGTCCAAGTTGGCTCCAGCTGTTGGCAGATGCTGCAGGAATGTTTTCTTGATGCCTTGCTTTGTCCTGCTCTGGGGTAAATAGAAATATGAATGTTTAAAAAAAAATTCATCCAGATTGTTAACCACTTTTCTGCTCTGTTTTTACTGTCAGCAATTGAAGCCAGCTTTCATGAAGGAAGTGGACAGTCACTTCACACAATTTGTGAACAGTTTGGTGGCGAAATCGGCACTCCTGGATTCCTCATCTTCAGCCTCCCTATTCCCAGCTTCCTGTTCAGACAAGGAACTGCTCAAAGCCAGGTAAGTCAATTTTAAGGTGTTCCTATAATAAGAATGTTGCCTGAAAGCCTTATTTGCTTTCTTATTTCCTTTCCTTTCTTGTCTCAAATGTTCTCCTCTTTGTTTGCAAGGACCTTGAGGGCCCCTCCAGAGCACGGGAAGATCTTTACTGCCAGGAGGTCCCTTTTAGAGTGAGTAACTTAACTCCACATTTTCAGTCAAATTGTTTGAAAATACTCCAGATAGCAAACTAACTAGGCTTTAGTTTGAGGGGCTGTCCGCACCACCGCTTTTGCCGTTATGTTCAAACTTATGTGGACTAATCTGTTCAAGCTTCTCTGTTTCTAAAATGTGTCTACTACTGCCTTCAGGCTTCCCTGAAAGTAAACGTTAATTACAGTTCTCTCAGTATTGCTGAGATAATGGCTAATTATCCTTTGTCCAAGGATAATCCAAGGATGTGTCTGTGTAGACTGGCGTTCAAATTCTATATTAACTTTAGTCTCCTGAATTGGGATAGCAGTGATGTCATCTTACCCCACTGTGGAAGTCTGAAAGCTAAACTACTGGAGATGTGATGTGCTATGGGAATGGCCTTACAGCATTTGAATTTCTCCCTTAGTGAGCTGTTTGAAGTAAGTCACATCAGGACGATCTACCACATGTTCATCGCTCTTCTCATTGTCTTCATCCTCAGCACACTTCTAGTAGACTTCATTGATGAAGGAAGGTAAGAATGCTTCAGAAAGACAGGGATCAGGGCTAGGAAATGCTTGCTTACAGGGCTCCAGAGGTACATGAAACTGCAGAGTGGAGCAGAGAGAAGGGGGCATACTTCCTTGAGATACTGTTGGAAGAAGAGTTTTAAATTTGATATGCTTTGAATATATGCAGAAATTTGTTGTTCAGGGTGTATGGTAATTTCAAGCTAGATATTAGGAATATCCTGCAGGTATTCCATGAGAATTGTGGCCAGCACAATTTGGCCTAACATGCTTAGTTCATCCCAAGACCAGCAAAAGGAGGGGGTCATTACTGAATATAGACTGGTTTAATTGAATATCTTTATTGAAGTGGTAGCTTTCAGCTGCTTGCATTGCTTGAAGGAGTGCTGGGTTTAGAAAAACTCCTAATATTTCAGCAGTCCTTCCTCTGCTTAAAAATGACAGTTCTGCAACACTGTACTTTCGATTAAATAAAAATAGAACTTTTTTGTTTTCTCTAGGGAAAAATCTCAAGGATATTGGCACAGACTGCTAAGACTGTGCTTTGCAGGTAGCCAGTTGTAAACAAGAATGAAAGACTGGTTTCCTCACACTTGTTGCATTAAACAATATCTTGGCAAGCTGTATTCCATGTACACAATTACGATTACATGTTTATCTTGTTGATTATCTGATCTTCAGTGTACAAAACCAGGCCTGTATCTTCATTCTAATAGTTGTCCCTCTTTCTAGGTATAAGAACAGGCTTGTGCACCATTAAATATTATTTAGCTGACCCTAACTTAGTGTATGGACATTGGGGGAGAAAAGATATTTACCCCTAAAACAAATAGGGCTAGATTCTCTGGTTACTTAAAATAGTGAGAAAATTGTTGCTGTGTTCTCTGCTAGATCTGATAATTTGAATACGGTTTGCAAGTGAGCCTCCACATGGGAACAAATAAATTGTGTTGGTGTGCTTAATACTGCGTTCTAAACTAAGGTCAGAAAAGAGGAGCTGTTTATGCGTAGGAGCAGGCCCTGGTGACTTTGATAGTCAGTAAGGTTGAAGATCCTTTAGTTTTAAGCTTGGTTAATTAGCCAAAGTACCTGGTGCATACCAGTTGGACATATTTGGACTAACCATCTAATGACCTTAAGCCTTTTGGGTAACCTCTAAATTGGATCCATGTGGAATGCCTACAGATTTCACAAAGCAAAATTAAACTAGGTTTAAGTGCTGAGTGTTAAAACATCTCCATGCCAATAGAGGTGGGGAAAAGCCTGTTTAGATGTTAGACCCCTGTGAAGAACTGATTCTTTGTGTAATAGCGATGATGTCTTGGGAGTGTTCCTCAAAAGCTCTTTTGGACCCTGGTTCAGCGGTGGATTGCTTAGTCACATGCTTGTTCTTAGAGATGAGCTTGAGCATACTTCTAAAGTACATGCTGATCTTAAAGATGTGCTTAAGCCATGTGGGATTTGAAGGTAAGCTGTGCCTAACAGCACTGATGGCATGAGTCCTTCGTCTTTCACTTTCTGATGCGCCTGTGGCTGGTCACTTAAATCTGCCACAGACTGCCCTCTGTTTCTGAGCTGAAAATCCCCACAGTCACTTCTGTCTACATTGTCAAACAGTTATTGTGTGGAAGCTTTGCATTTTGTGGCCTCTTAGGGGAGTAGAAATATTTCTAATGAAACAATGGACACCAAATACTGTCTCTTTCCTTCTGCTTTCTAGGCTAGTCCTAGGATTTGACCTCTTGGTCTTTGTTTTTGGAAAGTTCCCAGTCGTCTTCTGTACTTGGCTGTGCATGTTCTGTGCCACAGTTACTGTTCCATACAACCTTTTTGTCTGGTGGGCCCAAGGCTATTGCAGTTCCTCTCATCGGGCAATCCGCTCTCTCTGCTATGGAATGTTGTTCACACTGTTCCAAACAGCTGGACTCGGACTGGGACCAACCTATATTGCTGTATCATATGCCCTGCCTCCAGCTTCCCGTTTCATTGTAATATTGGAGCAGGTAAGTCCCTACCCAGTTTCTTTGGATGTATCGAACCTTGTTTTCAAAATGGAAAGTGTCCTTTTTCCTAAGGAGTCAAATATTACTTTTAGTCATTAAGCTAAGCCAGGGCTATAGATGGAGTTTGTCTTTGACTTGAAAACAGACTTACATGCAGCAAGCCTAATGAGAAAGTGGACGGTGAACTTAATTTTGACTTGGAAAATTGGTTTGTTTGGTTGTTTTGTTTACCCTGTGTTTAAGATTTTGTTGTGAGTTTTTGCTGGACATACTTTAAGGCTGAAATTCCACTGATTTCTAGTTGACTTGTGAATTTCTAACTGCTTAAATCCAACTTTAAGATACTGTTATACCATAGCTTCACAAGGAAGCTATGATATTCCTCTTAAGAAAAAACTAAGAAAAAGAAAAGCGGGAGTATGTGGTCAGCAAGTGGTTCCTGTTTCCCTTTCTGTTCCCAAGAAGGAACTTTGTCCTGTAGTCATAACATTATTGAAAGTGGAATTTTCTTTTTTGGGGGAAGTGGGAGGAAGAGTGCAAGAGTGTGGAAGACTGGTCAGACCATGGGGTTACAATAAGGATGGTCAGAGGTGAACATGGGTTTGAAGAATTAACTTTGGATTAGCCCTCCCTTTGGTCCTTCAGTGTGAAATTAAAAACCCTGTTTGACAGCTGTGGACTATTTACGCAGGGTGCCACATTATTCCAGCATGGTGGTAACTGCTGTAGAACGCATCTAACTTCAAAGAGTCAGTTTCAAGACTTTCCTTGTAAAAGAGGTAAATTAGAAACAAAGATGTTGAAGATGTTGCTTTAAATGTTTGATCCAGTCTTTATTGAGAAGTTTGGAAAGTGAGAGTGTTAAACTGCTATGTTCTTGGTCTTACAGGTTCGTCTTGTTATGAAGGCTCATTCATTCATCCGGGAAAACGTACCCAGAGTCCTACGTTCTGTAAAGGACAAGTCCAGTGAGTAACTTGCTGTCCTTCTTTTTGATAGCAGTGCATAACCAGCTCTTGTTTCCCTGCAATTGCTCTGAGCTCCCCTTCTGAACTGGAGAGGTAGGATTTGAATAGGTGACTTTGGATGGAGGTGTCACGAGGCTCTAAGCTGGCCTTCTGCATCATATTTTCAGCCTAAACCTTTTCATTTGATATTAGGCAATGAGCTAGACTGTTGTTCAGGTCTAAGTCATCTCTGCATCTTAAGTCTTTCTTCAACATGATTCCTTATTTCTGCTTTTATGAGTAAAAGGTATTTAGAGGCTGCCTGCACACCTCCAGTTCAGTGGTCTAGTTGAAATGACAGCAGTTGTAGAGGCACAGAAGCTCTTTCAGTAAGGCATGCCAGAGCAGAACATGAACCCACATGTTCATACAGGCCTTACAGCTTCATCTTTATGGGAAATAAATGTGGTACCAAAGTGTTAGCACTGCACTACTGTTAGTCACCCTCACTTGTAAACTATGCTTCATGGCAATTCTGCCTGGCAGGTCATCTTGATTTGATTTATTTTCTGCAAATCCCATACCTTTAGTTCCAGGCTGAAGTTTTCTGATGTGGTAAGGATTCTATGTTGTGAAAGAGTACTGGAAACTGAATCATGAGTAAGCAAAAAGATTGCAGAGTGTTCTTTTTTTAATTTTTATTTCCCCCTTCCAGGCACAGTACCTATTCCCAGAATTTCTCAGTACCTGTACTTCCTCTTTGCTCCCACCCTCATCTACAGAGACAACTATCCCAGGTAATGTAAGCAACACCAATAGAACATCAAAGTAGTCTAAAACCTTAAGCCAACATTAAGCATCCCTGGATGTGATGGATTAAATTTATGTGTTACAGCTTTCATAAACATATAGTTAAGTCAGTAATATGGCAAAGGCGGGACTTGGTCATGAAAACTCGCTCTAACCGTAATAGTATTTTGACTTTACAGTTCTGGTTTTATTTCTTTGGGAAGTACACTTGAAATGAAACAAATTAAGAGCGTGCTACAGAGTATCTGGTGATGCACAGTTCCTGCAGTAAGCTTGTGTGTTGTTTTATGTGGTGCTAATAAGCAGCCCTGCCTCTTGAGTTTGAGGAGGCAGGCTGAAGCCTTTAAAACTGGGAACTCCCAAACTTTCCTGTACTTTGCTGGATTGTACTTTGACAGTTGTCAAGTCAGCAGTCCTTTACGTGACTATTGGGCAGCTTACCACCTCCTGCGTAATTGCATAATGCTACCCTCCAGATACTTTTCCATTTATGGAATTGCCATAGTTGTCCTGCTGTAGTTGCAAGGGGGAACCAGCAATTTGGCAGTCGTCTCTTGGATGTCAGGAGATTAAGAACTCTAGAATTCAAGCCCCATTTTTTCTCAGAGTATAGGTCAGTAAAAATCAGTAACCAAAGGGAGGCCTTTCCTGCTTTGAGCTCCTATTTAGATGTGATATCATATGTTCTTTTTCCTAGGAATCCCACAATAAGATGGGGCTATGTAGCTACCAAATTTGCACAGGTGAGTAGTGCAGCTTTCTGAAGAATGCACTTTTGGAGATCATCTAAACTGTGTTGCTCAGCAGTTCTCCCTTTGGCATTAAATCATTGTTTACTTGGTGGAGGCTTACCAGAATAGAATACTTTTTTGTGACTAAAAAAAGGAACAGTGATTGTGCTGCATTAATGGTTGTGTCAAAGGGGAAAAAAAAAAACTAAGTAATTGCTTTGAACAAGCCTTTAGAGTCCATTCCATACAACAAAAGCCACATGTATGTGGGGAGTGCAGTATCCATGTTCTGGCCCTCTTTCTTTACACTAATACTGTATTGTAATGCACTAGCACAGCTACCTGTCGGCAGATATTTGGACCAGTTTTGAAATAACGAGGCCTGGGGTCCAAATCTTCAGTGCTTATTTGAGCTTAAGGTTCACCTGACCTTCACATTTCTGGATGTGAGCTTCAGTAGCTTCTTGTGGATGTGTTTCCAAGTATAGTGGCTTTATGTGAGACATTTACTTTCACACAATGCATTCATCATTTAAAAAGCAAAACAATTAAAAGGCATGAAAAAGCCTTTGGCTGCTTGCTCTTTGGCAAAAGAGGGTGGCAAAGCACACACCTGTCTTACAGCAGTCAGAGCACTTAAAGCAGTGACTTGCATTTTGACCCTAATCCAAAACATGGGTTCATTAGCCAGAGAAGGCCTGCGGTGATTTGGCCTGTAAACATCCCCTTTGGGATAAAAGAGAAGTAAGCTTTAATATTTGAAAAATACTTACTGTAGTTAAATCTGTTTTACTTGCCCTTGTCTAGGGCCTAGATCAAAGATACCTTCTTTGGCCTTGACACAAATCTTCTGTGTCATAACTTCTGAATTGGTAAGACTAGGAGAAATTTAGAGCTGCTGTAGTAGTAAAGAGAAGTTGATTCTGCTCCTGGCTTTTAATGTGCTACAGAGATGGTTGTGGCTTACTTTCTGGCTGCACCCTTAGGGAATTTGGCAGCAATGTAAAATAAATTATTTCCACTTGTTTTGGTAGATGCCGTTCCTGTCCCAGAGTTGTCAAGTGGTGATGTGTTAATTGTGCATTTCTCTAATGGAATCAAATTTTCTTTTTTGTTCCAGGTGCTTGGTTCACTTTTTTATGCCTACTACATCTTTGTGAGACTCTGCATTCCTCAGTTTCGCAACAGTAGTCAAGAAACCTTCAATCTTCGAGGGCTGGTCCTCTGCATCTTCAACTCCATTTTGCCAGGTATGACCTAGATTCACATGTGACTTTTATCTTTATGGAAAAGGCAGAAGGGAGGGGAAGTGCTTCATAAGAGCTGCATTCATGACAGGAAGAGATCAGCAAAAGAGGTCTTATGGACAGACTTAAGACAGCATTATGGTGTTAACCTTTAGAATCAGCAGTACAAAAAAAAAACAAACCCCAAAACTTGGGTTTAAATTTAACTGTCTTCATAGTCAAATTCTAGGCTCTGTGGAGCCCTGGCTGTAATGCTTTTGCTTTTTTGTGCAGGTAGTGTAAAGTTAATCTGTGTCAGTACTTATAGGAATAGTCTTGACTGTATTACATGCTCTTGCTTATGGTGGAGGGAAAACACTACAAAATCAATCTGGACCTACCTTGTTTCTAGGTGTACTGATTCTCTTCCTGGTTTTCTTTGCGTTCCTTCACTGTTGGCTCAACGCGTTTGCTGAGATGCTGCGCTTTGCAGATAGGATGTTTTACAAGGTAAGAAGAGGAGTCACAGTTTATAGAGCTTCTAAAATCCTTTTTACTATTGAAAAGGAAGGATGATTAAATTAAAGACACTTTTACCAAACAAAGCATCCACAGGGTTTTACTTGGTTTGTGCTGCTAGGACTTAGATTTGTTGCTGTGCTGTAAGACCAATCTGACTTCTACTTGGCAGTCTGAATTGTTTTTAAGGTAACATGCTCTGTGAGCAAACAGAACCAGCCAACGATCCTACCCAGTAGCTCTGTCCACACTTTTTATTCTTTCTCATCTTAGCCATTGCAGTTTGAGATGAAATCAAACTTTGATATACAGAGCAGAATGTTGGAAGTGTAATGGAAAGCATTATTTCATGGCACATCTTGTTATGTTAGCTTGGTATTATTCAGATCAATATTTTCCAACTTGGTATCCTAGAAAACACCTGTAGAATTTCTTATGCTTAATGACATTTACAGTCTTTTAACTGTGCTTTCAGGATTGGTGGAATTCTACTTCCTATGCAAACTACTACCGAACCTGGAACGTGGTAGTACATGACTGGCTCTATTACTATGCCTACAGGGACTTCCTTTGGGTGAGTAACAAGAAAATGTGTTCTTTTGTTTTGTTAATTAAATATTTAACTACTGAGGAAGACAGTACATTTGTCAAGATTCAGCATCACTGTCCGCTGAGAAGCAAAAAAATCTTGCCTCAGCTGTTGTGGTTATCCACTGTGCCTTTTGGAGGTCCATTGCTCATTTCCAAGTCTTTAATGTCTGCAGAATGTGGGTCTGAGATGCAGGAACATGAGGATTGACTCAGCATTCTGAACTGACATTGCACTCTTTTGATGAGCTGTGGTAGATATTTCATGAGTGGACTCAACATGAGTACTTATGCAGGAGATAAGAAATATGCCTGAAGAACAACACCTAAAATCCACAGTTCTCTGTAAAGTACTTAGCATTTCATGTGTATATAATATTTGGTATTCCTCTCTCTTCCAGTTTTTTGGTAAGAAGTTCAAAGCAGCAGCTATGCTATCTGTCTTCACAGTATCAGCTGCTGTGCACGAATATGTTCTGAGCATCTGCTTCGGCTTCTTCTATCCAGTTCTCTTTTGCCTGTTTATGTGTTTTGGAAGTAAGTTTCAAGGAGAGTGTATGTGAGTGGGTTGTGAGTTTTGTGGTTTGCTTTTTTTTAAACAAGCATGATTTGCCCTTGTGATAATGATGACAGTTATCTAGGCACTAACACATAGAACTGTTTCTTGTCTAGGAGTTCCAATTTTGAGTCCAAACTTTGTGAAGGGATTTTTGCAGCAAAATAGCTCAGTTAGCTACATTTACACACACACACACACACACACACACACACTCTGGGTTTGCAAGCTGAAGACTTAAATGAGTAAGGTGTCGATGGAGAGGCAGAGTACTGTATATGAAATACAGCTGTTCAAGTGACAGTACCTTAGTGCTTCCTCTTTGTCACATCTTAGTTGAATTCTCAGCAGGAAATCTCCCTCTTTAGAGTTACAGTGTAAGATAAGTATGACTTTGCTACTACGGTGAGGAAGAGAGTCCATTTAGAAATTAGAGGTCTTGCATTTCATTTTAGGCTTTGAGTTAGAATGAGTTACAGGGCTTTCAAACCCTAAGACACCTCTGACAGCATGTCTTGGTTACCAGCATAATACAAATGATATTGATCCCCAGAGGCATAGCTTATTGGCAAACTTACTGGAAGTGAATGTCAAATCAGCTCATAGTATTTGCTCTACTGCCAGGCATAATCGGATTTTCTTGCAGTATACTGACCTCATGGAGGAGCCTTGTTGCTCCAGAGATGAAATAAAGGGAGGTAAAGATCCAAGGAAATCAGTTGATCTTTGATTCTTTAATCCTTAGTCTGTTTCTGAACAGTGCTTCTCTTTTTGTCTGTTCCCAGTGGTCTTCAACTTCATCCTTAATGACCGTCGGAAGGGCCCCATCTGGAATGTGATCATGTGGACTTCCCTCTTCCTGGGCCAAGGTGTCATCATTTGCCTGTATAGTCAGGAGTGGTATGCTCGCCACTACTGCCCTGTGGAAAATGTGAGTGACTGATCTTTCCCATGGGGTAACTGACCACACCAGTGGCTTATTCCTTCTTGCTGTGGGGACAGAGCAGAAGTTAAATGGCAAGAGTCTTTCTGGCAGTGTTGTGTCAGATCGTTTACAGTTATTTATTCTGGAAACTGCCTAATAAAAGTGCTTTCATTAGTGCTCTTTCTATGCTGATAGTATTTCACTACTTGAAAGTGAGGGTTTGTTTTCCTCAGTTTAATTTCTGAGGACATAAGCCAGTACTTGTGAGTACGCTAGGCAGTTCAGGCTGTGTGAATGGAACTGCAGCAGTTGGCCAGTGAGGTCAGTAGAAACCTTTCTAGGAGGCTCACAAAAAACAGAGCCTGTTGTGTCTCTCCCAGCTTAGAGTGGGTGGCAGTGAGAATTGGTTGCCTGTAAATGGTCAGTTTGGGGTTTAGTTGGTGTTACTTTCTCTGACTTATAACTCATTTTCTGTTCAATGTAAAACTTCTTGCTGTCCTAGTTGATTGCAGTTTTAACCCAAAGTATCCTCACACAAACTCTATTTTAAAAGTTTGTTTTTCCTCAACCAGGAGTTTACCATCATAAATGGCTGGCTTCTTGAGACAATGTACTGCTAGATGCAGCATTTACCTGATGTTTGCCTGCCACCCACCTTACCTCCAGTTCTGGCTGTAGCTACACTTCCATGCACTGTTTAAGTGAGGATAAGAATAATAGGGTTGCAGGGTGTAGAAATGCAATTTGATCTTTTCCATAGGGAAATTTGACTTCAGTGGACCACACACAACTGGTGCTGTGGGCCTGTGACTAACTTACTGCCTCTCCATGTTTTGCAGCCCACATTCCTGGACTACTTAAAACCGCGCTCATGGTCATGTCATATGAAGATGTAAAAATGGTGTGCTCTGGCCACGTCGTCACAGAATATCAGAGTTGTCCTCCAAGTGTTTGGACCAATGACCTAACTTACTACAGTTTTTTCTAAGGGAAGTTGTGCCTCCTGATTATTGGGGAGAAACTGTAATTTTTTTAACCATTGCTGAGGCAAACCAGTTGACCTGGTTTGCAACAGGCTTTAGGCAGTATCTAGTACGTGCCGTCTCATTTTGAGCCATTTCATGCCAGTAAAACATTGAGCTGAAAGGTGTCTACTGGAATCCTACTCATCCAGGGGTGCCCCCCTGTTGCTGCTCTTCTGGACAGCAGATAGGCTAGTCAGATTTGCTAACAGCTCATTGTTGGCATCCGTCCACCTACATTAGCCATCCCTTTGCAAAATTTTTTTTTTCCTTTTTGTAACAGGATGTCCACAAAACTTGTATTCTTCATCATCCTGTCTGCTGCTATGATGTGAACAAGTGGCAGAGCAACAGTATATTTGCCTCCTTGCTCTGAAGATAGCCAAAGTATTCCTGGATGGCTTTGAACTGCGTTCAGTGTATGTTAGCTGCCTACAGATTTAAAATGGGCAAAGAGGGAATTGTAGTTTACTTGTGGCTGCATTGGAGAACCAGGTTCAGAAGCAGGGCATAGTGTGTGAAGTCTTTTATTGACCTTTTATGCTGAAAATTTCTGTTTTCTCTGTATTCATTTAGTTCCCAACTGACTTAATAGCATTTTTGTTTTCTGAAGGCCCTTGCAACTTGGGGAATAGTTTTTCTTCTAGTTCTTCCTTTCTCTTGCTTCAGATAATCAATTCTTTTAACACAATTAACTTGTAAAAGAGCTTTTGCTTTAATTTGGCAGATGTACAAGTTGTTAAGGTTTTCTTTAGTAAGATATTTGAAATACTACAACCCAACTGTAAGAAGATGCAATCAACTTTACAGGTACATAGTGCATTTTCATGTGAAATGGCTACGTCCAGTCTAGTATGCCAGCACGCCTTAGTGCCTTTTGCCAGTTTATGTTGTAGCAGCTTCTGATGCTGCCAGTGGGAGATGAGGGTTGATGCTATGGCTGGGATCAGAGCTGCTTTTTCATCTGTCCGTGTCTGTTCCTGTGCCAGTGGAGGCTTCAGGTAAAGATCAGTTTTCCAGCTATTGCCACCCTCTGTCTGAAGATGGAGAACATCCTCCCATACAAACACATAAAAGCAGAAGCATTATATGAATTTGGTGTTTCAATTTCTATGAATTAGGCAGAGTCCCTTCAGTTTCCTTGTTCTGACAGATGCTAAACACAAAAGGGAACTAGAATCTGAGTGCATAGTATCTCTCCAGTTTTGCTGGAACTGCAGCTCCCCTCATTGGAGAGAGATGGTAACCTGATGGAAGTACCTTAACTTTGATCACGGGGATTTTTGAGTTACTCAAATGTTCTTTATTGGCACTTTTTGTTAATGGCTTTTCTTCACTGACCTACAGCCTTGGTATTTGATACCAGCAGTATTGGGAATGTTTATATCCTGATCCACTTAAGCCTGTCTTTTGGGTTTCTGTTTTTAATAACCTGAGCCAAAAGTAATTTCATGAAAGCTAGGTAACACTCTTCCAGGTTTTTAGTCTTCTCTAAGAAGGAATCCCACTCACGCATGGTGAGAACATTGTGTCAGGTCAAATTTGCCAAATGCAGTGTTTGTGTATGTGGCTCTCCTCGGAAAACATCCTGCTAGAACTTGTTTGTTGAAACAGTTGGGTTAATTTCAGAGGAAGGGGTTCATGTGCATACTCAAACTTGGCAGTATTACTACGTAAAATCCTGAGAATTAAATTGATCACTTAATCCTGAATCTTTCACTGTGACTTTAGTGGGAGGAAGGAACAGAAGTGCTGGAGCACCTAAGGTTTCTATTTGAAAAAAAAAAAAAAAAAACGAACAAAAAACAACAAACAGGACAAACTGCACCACCCTTTGGCCAAGCAGCTTTGTAACCTCCTTAATGCAGAATTAAATTTAGTTCTGTACATTTTAGTTGTGGTGCTCAAAACCCGAACGTGCAAGATGTAACTGCACTCAGTTTGGGTGTGAGGGATTAGGGACTTACTTGCCTCTCAATGCCTGTGTCAGGTCTGGCTGCTGTCTTGGTGTTCTCAGAAGGAGATCAGATGATGGCACTTTGTGCCAGGTTCTGGTGTTTCCCTTGCAGTTGGCACTGTCGTATTCCTAATAAAGGATATCAGCATTTACTGTGTCAGCGTTCTTGCTCTTTGAAGCCTGAGGGCTTGAGTGTCTGGCAAGCAAAAGGCAACTAGAAAGGAATGCTCAGCTGTTGGAACTAGCCTTAGTTTTTGACAGGTTGAGATTTTTAGCCTTGTAGATCAAGGCATCTGGCAACCATGCTGTCACGACATTAACAATCGGGATTAATTTCAGTTTCATGGGTGGTTGTTTTTGTTGGTTTTGGGGGGATTTTTTTAATTGCTTTTGAATGTGGGTTCATCATCATTTTTCTCAAGAGTACTGAAGAGGAAGTGCTAAGTCTTTTGCACATTGCTTGTTTAATTAGTCAATTATACCATGTTTGTTTGAGTTTCCTTTGAATGCCAGAGGTAGCAGTATGGTGTTCTGGTCAATAATGAGGATGCTGGGGTTCAGAACCCGCCCTTTCCAGGTTCTTAATAATACATACATTTTTCTGTGGCTCTTTCCAATGCAACAACTGTGCAGCTTGCTTCCATGGTAACTTCTCAGCTTCGAGGTGGGAAGCCTCCAGCTTTGGAATGGCAGCCAGCGCAGCTACAGCTCCTTGTTCAATAACATCCCGAAAATCAAATGGTGAAATGTATCTGGGTTTTAAAACAGTTTGATCTCAGGAGAACCGAACCTCTGCAGAATCCTTGTGTGTATTATGTCGTTTCTGTTGGGGGGTTTAGCTTCCACCCTTCTGAAGTGAAGCAGTCCTGCATGTGAGCTGTGAAGTGTATGCTATTATGTGACAGCCGTCCAAGTAAGGCATGTGCCACAACACATGGGAGTGGGGGGAATCCCTGATGTATTTTGTTACTACAGAATGGCATGGATTTCATGGATCAGTCCACTGCTAAAGGAAAACTGAACTGTTGGAGCTTCAGTTGAGCATAGCTGGCCTGGAAGGTCAGCAGTCCAGCGTGAGCGAGCCCACACACTGGCATCGGGGTTATCAACAGGCTCCCCACTGTACCTCTGAGCCAGCCAAGGTCAGCCTCATCTCTCCTCCCTGGGCTTGCAGCCATTGCTGCCCTTCCCCTGAGGTGACTGGGGGGAGGCAGCCACCATGTGCTGCTGTGTGCCCGGCACCGGTGGTTCCATGTATGCAACCTGTATACCAAGTTCTGTCATGCAGAAGAGCTGTTTATAATCTACTGTATTACAGCAATTGAAATATATTTTGCTATTACGGGAGGGAAAAAAAATTGTCTTGGCTTGTTTCTTCTCTGAGGCTTCTGAATTGGTGGGGTTGGGAGGGGGTTGCAAGAGAGCAATGGGGGGGGGGGGGGAGTGTGGAAAAAGAGGGATGGGGTTGCTCTTCTGGGACTGTGGCTGCCCTGGGGAGATGTGGGTCAGAGCCTTGTGGGGAGGGAGGGAAGGCCAGGGGGAGAGCATGTTCCAGAGCCGGCTGGAGCACCCTGTGTGTCCATGGTGATGGAGTCAGGGACAAGCTGCCTGGTGGCTGAGGGCTGGCCGGTACAGGCGGGGGCCCCTCTGCTGCTCTGGGGAGGGGGGAGCCAGCCTGCCTCAGGGGTCTGGGGCTGCAAAGGCAAGGAGGGAGAGGTGTGAGACAGCTGTGCTGTGGCGCACCCGGTGCTGGGTGAGGGGCCTGGAGCGCCGGGCGGCTTTGGCTGCGTTTGCAAGAAGAAATTCGCATAAGTCCTTCTTCAGGTCCTAAAGCAACAGGAACTGTCAGAGCTAAACAGCGGGGAAGGGTAGCTGGGGGTTTGTAAGCTGCGTATTGGCCATCGAGGCTCTGTGAGAGGAAAGGGTGTCCTTGGAAGTGCTGGAGAGGAGCACGGGGAAGGAGTTAACAGCTTCTGGAGTCCCTAACCTCTCCCAGTTAAATTGGTGCAACTGCCAAATGTGTATCGCGTTAGTGATTTCTGCCTTATTTTGGGCCTGAAAAGGGTTTGTGTGCCAAGAACTGAATGTGATATTTTCCAGCTGCGTACCACATGTGCTAAAGCCAAGTCTTGTCTGTGTCCTTAAACTGTAGCGCTGCAGAACAGTGCCATTAATCTTCTTTCTGGTGGGAATAATACATGCTGCCAAACAGAGCTGTTGGGGGGGGGTGTGTGCAAATAAAGGTTTTGTTCAGTCAGAAGTTTCTAGCACTTTTTTGTATTTTCTTTCCAAGAACCCATTTATGCAACAAAACAAGAAGCTACCTGGCAAGATTACACCTACACCCACAAACATGTATCTGAAGGCAAAGCAATGTAGTTACCCTAATTAAAACCACAATATGCCAAGACATAGCTGATAAGGAGGTCAAAGAGTTTTAATGCCAAGAGCATTTATAAAGAACAAGGCCAGTGACGGGGGAGGGGAGGCTTCAGAAGAGAATTTATGGAGGTTATGAAACTAACAGAAATATTATTTTTATTAGTAATATACTGCTAAGAAGAAAAAGTGGTAAGGTTAATAACTGGAGACAAATACAATTAAATCTCTAGCCCACTTAGATGTATAAAAGAAGCAGTTGTTCTTAATTTAGTTTGTAGATGGAAAAGCAAGCACCCCTATGGAGGGTGTAGCAAAGCAGTGGGGGCTTCTGAACTGACATACCTGGTGTCAGGTGTAGGGCGAGGTCACAATGAATGATAAAAAAAGCGTGTTAGCCCTGTGAAGTACAAATGTGGGTTTAATTCTGTTCCTAGATCATTCGCTCCTGCAACTTTCCTTGGCTGGGCATTAAAACAAAATAAACATTCATCATGCCCACAACTGGAGTGCCTGTTCCTGGGCAAAAAGCTGGTGCAAGGAAACTGAGCCGTGCCTCGTGGGCAGGTGAGGACCTCAGGTAGAGCAGGGCTGGAGGCTGCAGGGGTTGAACATCTGACTCTCCATCCTTGCAGTTTCCCTTCAATACTAGGACTCTTCTCTGCATTTTTGTTTTAATTTAGACATGGAATTGCTGGTATTTTAGAGTAGAAAGCTGAGTGCTAGCAAGCCACAAGTAAGGAAGTGGCTTTACAGAAACATGCAAACTTTAGTTCACAGCGTCCCTTGGTGTCTGTGTACCTGGCAGCATGGCACAGTCATGGGATGTAAAAGGTAGCTTGTTCTAGGCTTCATGAAAGACATTAACAGCTGCTAAAAATGTGATAAGCTACCTGTGCTTTAGATGCTGGTTTGGTGTAAGGGAGCAGACATCTTGTCATGGGTTTTCTCAGCCATGTATTTTATCATCAGTTTTACTTTCACCAGCAGAATAAATGCTGTTCAAATGCCTGTGCTATTTTCCGGAGATGCGCAAGTTGAGGGGTACCCCAAAGATGCTTGACCACATCAAGCCTCTTTCTTCTTCCCTGGAGCATTGTTTTGTTCCAGAAGTTTTCTGAAGCCTGACCTGTGCCAGCAGTTCTCTGTACAGCCCAAAGTACTTCCAGTCCCCACAAACTACCAAACCCCCGATGGGCTTCAGGGTGAGTGTGCTTCCATCTCCTGCCTTTTCCTGTCCAGAATTGTCTCTTCGCTGGGTGCACATGTTCATTCCCTGGGCAAAAGTTGGAAAGTCTGCCAACCTTGTAGGATAAATCTATCTTATACTGCATCACTTCACTGACCATGCCATTTGATGCAGATTTAACAAACGTGCCTGCACCCTTGTGCTCCTGTGAAGCCCTTGTTGAGGCATTTTTGTCCACACCAGTTCCTTTGGCCCCAGGACAGAAATAATGATGCAGCATTTGTTTAGACCAGTCAGCCACCCTGACCTGTCCCACTCCTTGGTACATTTCTCATGAAATAGTGACATCCACATGTGCCTTGTCTGCAGGGCTGCCTGCAAACACCAGATTGGCTTTGGCATTATCCTAATTGTCAGAGCAAGTTCAGACATCTGACAGACCACCCTGTCAGTTTGACAGGCGCTGGAGGGTAAGTCAAGAAGAGAGAAAGAGCCCAGGCCAATGGAAGGAAGTTACAGGTGGGAATGTAGAGCTAAGTCTCTCCTTGGCCTTTTCTGATGATAGGTGGCTGTGGTGCCTAATGGGGCTGGATGAATGACCAGCTGTCCTGTCTGAGTTTGGGCTAGAGAGATTTGAGGGAAAGATGTGAGGATAACAAATGAGAGTTGCTAACTGAGCAGTTCTTGGAACCATCCTTCTGAAGGATGCCAGGGTCGCAAGGATGCTCTGTGATCCACGGTTAAGAAAAGAGGCTCTTCTGGCTTCAGTGGACTTAGCAGGGATTAGCTTTACACTTCTTTGTAAATAAATGACACTTAATGGTGGTGGGAAGTGAAAAATGTTTTGCTCCTTGTTGAACATTGAATATGTATGCAATAGGGTATTGACAGTACATATGAGAAATGGTCTTTGGCCAGCAACAGGCAATGTGAGGTTAATCTGCCTAAAAACCATGATCTCATCTGTCTTTTTGGCCTAGGGAGGAGCCCTGACCATAAGGCTGGCCCCAGGCCCAGCAAACAAACCTGCTTGTGGTTGAGGCTGGCAGTAAGGGAAGAGCAGGTTGCCTGCAGCATGGGTCAGTGAACAAGCTCCTCCCCTCTGTTTCAGGGATGTCTCTTACCTGTGTGACACTGTGACTGGCCAACAAGCTAAGAAAGCAGTGCAAGTCAGAAGGTCTTTTTCTGAGGGTCATCAGGACCGGAGAGGGAGCCGTGGTACAGTCCCACTCACTCCTGTGAGTGCTATTTTTCTGTGTGTCTAGTTGGAAGGGAGATCCTCACACGTGTCCCAGTGTTACCCTGATCCTAAAACACATCGGCTCCCCTTGTGGCTCCAGCCCCCCAGCTCCCCCACTGCAGCTTGGTGTTAATTGTTTCAATCTGCTTTCAGATGTAGATCGTATCTGTTGGGCTCTGGATGTGTAGGGCAGGAAAGGGAAAAGCAGCATGAAAAGCCACTATGTGAACTTCCCTTTCCTGGCAGCCAAACCTGTGTGTTCTTTGGGAAGGAACCAGGAGTTTGTGCACGTCTTTCAGGTTGATGTTTTGTGCTCTGTCTCTTTTCCATCCCCAGAGAGCAAG